TGTCCGGCTCATGACATAACAAAACGGCTACCATTTTCCACAGGACACATTTGTTCAGTCCAGAAAATCGTCAGCTTTCCTGGTAAATATTATTATTAAGAGAGTTTCCACCAAGCGAGTGCGATGAAACACTGTGGGCAGGTTTTCAATGAAATATATTTGAATTAGTAAGAGAATCAAGGATCAATGGCTAAAATGTCTACTATATAAGCAGTTAGTTTTCAATGAGCAAGGTTTTCCTAAACGGCCGCAATAAAATGCATTCAAAAGTCAACATCATGCCGTGGCCGAAATATTATGGGATTATACTGTATGATTTTTAATCTTAAAACCAAATGTAAGTAATGTGTCGTAATTGAAACCTTTACTTCAGAGTTTCGGTTAAAATTTCTTGAGATCTATCACTGACTGTGTTTGAAATCTAAAGGAACCTGTCGCAGTTTAATTGTCTCGTGTGGATTGTCTGGTAGGAAAGTGGAAACTGGCAAACTGTCGACCAGCAGCCAGTAAGTGGGTTCAAAAGAAAGCTTCCTATGTGTCAATTCTGTTTCGAAATCAGAGTAAACGGCCAACGTGCTGAGGACACACACACCAGAATTGAATCCAAAAATATGTGATTCAAATGGGAATGAGAGAAGCGAATTATATTTTCAATAATCAGGCTGGTTGCAAAAAAGATTTCGTTTTTTGCTACTTTTAAAGTGAATGCAAAATACTGCCGCTTTTATAAATTAAATAGCTTAGATGTAAAACGCTATATCTAAACCGATCTAATCATCTTTGTATTTTATATTTGAAGAAAGGGCGTATTTAGGTTTTGAAAAAGCTTTTTTAAGTTTCGAATAATTTTGATCCAGGTCAGCTAATGCTTCTTCGTTCAGCGACTTCAGTCTGCAGAGCGTACACTGTTCATGTGCGAAAAAACATATACCCCTCTGCGGGGGTACTTGTTCCCGTGTAAAACTCCTAAAATAACAAGCTTGTTCAGTGGAATATAGGGAAGCTTAGGGGACATAAAGTCTTAGGTTGCTTTGATACATTTCAGATAAAAATCATCTGCGGACCTCAGTTGTGATAGAAACTGCGAGGAGGGTACTTGGCGATCCACTATCTAACCAACCCCGAAAATGCCTCACAAAATTGACCATCAAATGCAAATAGAGCTAGAAGGCTCATGAACGTATTTCCTTAAAAAACGTCTTCTTTCTAAGTAGGTAGTGTTAGGAATGCACAAATCACTGAGAACCAATACTCGCTGTTATTCAATAATTCGTCGAAATTCCGATAATTTTTGCTGGCAAAAACTGGAAAACGTCCTATCGGATCTCAAGAGATTCGAGTTTGCTCAGGAGCTTGCCCCCAGTTACTGACTTAGTATTTCGTTAACAGCTGATGGAAGACGAAACGGATGGGAAAGTCACTCCCCGAAGTATTAACTTTGTGATTATACTTACAAGTTGGTCCATTGAAATGTTACTCCCAGCTGGTGTATACCTAAACACAAGAATAGAGATAGGGACCGAGTTAAAAACTCTATGACGAAAAAATCCAGAGAAAGTTAAACTACTGTATTTCAGGAAATCAAATGCCCCCGCATGACAAATGCTGGGAAAAAGTATCCATCCTAATGGGAGAAATGATGCAATTTCCCACCTATATAACTGCAACATTCGTCTCTTTTGTCATAGTTAGTGACACCTTTCACGACAGTACTGGTTCCTTTATCAGCATTAGGTTCCCAAGATGCAATCTTTTGCGCCCAGAATCTGGGAGCGTCTTAGACTTGTACGGCAATCAGAGGTTCACTTCATCAGCCCATTCGATTAGTTTTCCCCGTCCTTTATGCACTACATGCCATGTGTACTACGAATACCCAGAGCGATCACAGTGACGACCAGGATACTGCATAGAAGCTAACTATCCGCCGGTGATAATATACAGAATTAACGATGAGGTCCTCGTAACGATAACCTAGAAAGACATTAAGGTTTGCCTTAACTTCTCTGTGCAGGACGAAAAAGACAGCATTTGAGATTTTAACCAGTCTTAAGTGTTAGAGTACGGCCATTTGGACGATTTTCAGTTCAGAAATTATTCTTTTATCATGTCTTTGCTCGACGACACAGTCTCACGGCAGTCTCACTTTGACAGTAGACAATATTCAAATTCTTTCATTGTGACTTTCATGAGAAGGCAATTTAGTATGGTGACGCACTCAGCAAGCTGAGAGCTCTGACATGGATTTTGGAAGCTGTTAATGTTTATGTCAAATTGGATCACCGTTGGCAAACCGCCTTGACACTCCTTTAGGAACAACGCAAGGAGGATGAGGAAAGAAATTGGCGTCAAACAATTTGTGGACCGTCATGGGGTTGTAGAAGATGTCGACTGGAGCGCACTAATTTTTCGACCTAATTACCAGCCGAGATGTCAATTATTGTGCTGAATTATTGTCCTCGTATCAAATAACATATGTATGTATATATATGCTGGTGGTCTTAGTCGCAGATAGTCTTCTTCGTCAGAACATGTGGTCCTTCCTACTCATTTGTGTCTACGGATGTTTGGCAGTGGAGGGTAAGTATTGATTTATGTGGTTTTCAAGACCATTCTAACATCTTTCCCACCTCATAACCAGGATCTCTTGCCATACTAAACAAGCTATGATAGGATAATGGTCACTGAGACTGTTGCATAACAATGCAGGCTTTCGGGACCCTGGAAAATGGCAAAATATCAAAGTGGAGTAAATACATACACTTAGACCAGACATTTGAACGCTATCACTGTGTGACCTGCAAATTCTAACTGTAATTATGAAAATTCTGATGGTGGAACACGTTTAAAGAGTAAAAACAAACGATAGAGTCTTCTACTAGACGGAGTTAGTCGACCGAGCCAAAAATCACTTCCAATCTGCCCTTTTTAGTCCCTGACACTCTGATTATTGATCGTAATGATTACGCCCAATGCCTTTGACAATTTCGTTATTCCCAGCCACACTTGGCAGAACTTGACGTTTAAATCAGATCCTTCTGTGATAGAACTGAAAGTACAATTTGCAGCATGTGCCGAATTAGGACGGGCTAATGAGTGTATATATTGTTGCATTTTAGATAATAGAGTGTTTATTCGATTTAGGCGTTGAAGAATTTTGCCTTCTTCAACGTGGCCGCCAATGCTTGTTTAAGGTTTCTCTAAGCGGTTCGTAGGTTTTTCAACAATAATTAGGCAGACAGGGCTCTTTTCTGGTCAGTGAACTGCAGCTCAATGCCGCCAAACTTTAGAGTGAAGTTAAGTTTCCTATTTTCATGTGTAGGAAATAATAATTTACTGAAGTGGGTGAAACATTGTTTTTTGAGAAGTAAAATAGGTAATTGTGACACATGGCGCCTTGTTTTTAATCTCGATGCGGGTTCAATGCATTCAGAGGGCCACTAAATACAAGCTTAAGTACCCGTATACTCAAATGTTATTCGAACGTCTGTTAAAACTGTCAAAAAAGTTCCCTTGGTCCAATTTCCGTGAGATAGTAAGACTGTCCTACGGCTGGCTCCATTTGTTAGCATTGATTAGCACTAATACGATCTTTCTGAGCCATTAATCAAAAATAGTAAGTTGCATACATGTGGGTTAAAATCAGCGTAATGCATTAACCGCCTTCTGAGTTTGGGATATCATTGAATGATGACGGAAAATGACTGAGCTATGACCAATTATACACGTTGCAAACACTTCTAAGCAACGTCTCCTTTAGTAATAATCAAGCAGGGAGCGCATATTGGACATTGCATCAAGATGGCAGATAGATAATGGGCTTTTCATGATCACCTTCTGAAGACCGAGGGATTTCAGGCTGCTTTGCCATTTGTAAATTCAATCTAAGAATAAACTTGGGCACAATAGGGAATAGGTGGGATCGAACGAAAGTTGCGTATCTTTTCAATGTCATATAGGAGAAGCAAGGAAATAATCTGACCGCCGAAATGTATTCTTAACATTGACCTGGTAGATGTTAAGCCAATAACATTATGTATATCCCTGCAAGTTCTTTAAATACAAATGCTATTGTATAAAGGACAGTTGTTGCTTTTGCAGACCGCCCTAAACAAACACGGAAGCCAAAGCAACTGTCCACTAGAGTTTTCTTTATTGTTTACGAGCGAAAAAAATTACATGATAAAGTCCCGTCTTAGTCGATTTAAATAGCTCACAGGTTGACACGCGTTTACAGTGTAACCTTGGCCGGGAACTCGTGTGCCAACTGTAACATAGAAAATTCTGCTTGTGAGAGCAGATTTTCGAGTTCTGAAGTCTTTCGTGACAGCCTTAACGAAAATACACTCAGCTGTGAGATATTTTAGCGGGTTTACAAAAATCGAGTTTATTGAACTGTTTCTATCCAATTCTAACTAGGCTATTACACTTAAAGGAAAAGCTTTTTCAAGTACTTTATTCGATGTTTTGACTTTTGTTTGGGCGAGTGAATAAACACTCCAGTCACTAGGGAAACCGGAAAATGTAATCCTTTTACCAGTAGAATCCCTAATACTTACTAGACTTTCTGAAATCCAATAATGCCGCGTTGCCATGACAACAGCATGAGAAAATTCACATAAAATCAACATGTTAATTAATAGTCGAACTCTACTATTCTCACAGCCTGGACAATGATCGAGGCCAACCGCCCCAAAACAGCACTTGGACTCACACAATAAGCCCACCATGCATGTAGCACTCAAAGGCTTTTGGTATGGAAATAAGCACCATGAAATGGCAAGAGTTTTGTTGAAACCGCGTTTATAATAATTTCAGTTAAACAATGAGCACTTCGAAGGCTAGCGCAGTTGTAGTTCCTGAAAAGTATCGTTTCAATTCCTACGCGATCAAAATCTTCCGTTTACTTTTTGTCTTAAGCCAAGAAACACAAGCATTTCGTTCTCTATGAGTGGGACACCGGGCTTATAACTGCAAAATCGGGATGCGTAACTCACCGGACAATGCTTCCTGAAAAATTATACGTAAGTCGGAATTAAGTGTTTCTTGATTTATCTTATATATATATATATATATATATATATATATTTATTTATTTATTTTAAGTCAGCACTGATCTTTACTTATAAAGTTTGTTTCGGCATTAAACGCTTTACTCCTATGATGAATCTAATTATACGCCTGGAAAAATTCTTAAGAATATTTTCCCACATGGCGCTTTTTGATTCAGTCTTATCGGATATATCTGAAAAAAATTAAACAACCCTCAATCTGTCCCTTTTCCTTGAGAACTTTAGAGCACTCTGAAAGTAGATGAGACAAATCTAACGACTTTATATGGGTTAAGAGTTGGTCAAATCTTCGGGTTGAAGACACCAGCTGCGATGGTTTGACTCCGTTCCATCTATTTATCCGACGGAATGTGTACATACTATGCCCTAGCAGGGCAATGGGCAGCTTCTGGGATCAGAGCGAACAGCATTTGGGGAGTTAGATGGTTCAGGATAAGTACCACTACTCTGCTAGTGGAGAGGTTATGCACTACACTTGAGATCCGTAGTTCTTTCTAATCGCCGGCAGAATTTTGTGAGCTTCATTCGCAAGGTAGGTTTTTCTGCTTTCACACAAAATTCATGCATACGGACTGGTTCCGTTCCAGGCCACCTACACAGCCGCTATCTCACAGCGATTAAAGCTGACATTGCATGACTCTAAATAATAAAGGGCTGCAAGATTGGACAGTACGACTAGTCCCTCGCTGTTCCTACATTGTTTTATGTTGAGGAGTAGCGGTCAGATGGATTGAAACAGAGCGGTGCTCATGGTAGATGGATTAAAATGTGCTTAGCAGTCGGCCCAATGACTCCCACAGTGAACCACTTGGATGAGAGTAGGTCAAGATTGGTTTGAAATTAATCTGAGGTAACTGCTTAGCCTCTGTCTAGAGTTAACATGAAACAAACTCTCGAGATCGCGTAAGTATCGCTGAGGCAAAAATAGTCTATTCGGACTTGCAGGAAGTTGTTGCCTCTTCATGCATATATCGAGTTAAATCTCTTTAACAGAGAATACGTAGTAGTAGAATCCTGAAAATGTCCACGAAATATTGAAGGCATGGCTACTTGAGATGTCTTCTGTGATATTCATAATTCTGACACTAGCTACGGATTCCACCTCCAAACACGTTCAAGGGCTCAATTGTAACGATTACTTGTTGGCCTCAAATTCACTTCCTAAATTTGGGCTAATTTATGCCTGATAACCATTGGCCAGGAACAAAGCTAGGTGCGGTTCCACTCACATGACTTTTGCCCAAGTATTATATCTTTTCGGCCCGGACAGCTGACAGATCGGGATTCACCAAGAAGCGCCATTCCGCGAGTTCTACGGAGGGCTTTCCTGATACTGGCAGGTAACGTCTACGTTCCTCTACAGGGGTTTCCATTCTAGACTGTGAACCGATATCTGCTATAATCGTCCAGAGAGACTGAACGCCTGCTATGCCAATATGCTCGTCGCTGTGGTTTGGTGAATCGGCAATAACTATAGCTGCGCTTACGTCTTCATGTTATGGAATTCAGATTGGGGCTCACTGACATATTATATCACGGTACTCGATTGTCTAAACTCATTAGTTAGACGGACAATGGGTTAAGCACACAAATGCGGACATGAGCTAGAGGTGGGGCCTAGTGTTTGGATTAAAGTTATGGCATGGAAATGGATGCCTCCTTGTAAGTCAGCGCGAGGGGGAGCACATGGTGGATATCATCGACAACGACGGTCACACTGTTATTTAAGATCTGCCTTTGCCGGACTAATGACTGTTGCAGGTCAAGGTTGACCAAAGATGTCTTTGGCGGCCTTGTCTGTCCATAAAGTCCGACAGTTTCCATCCACAAAAATCAGATTAGAGTCTTACCGAAATCACGTCTAGGCGTTTTATAGGAAACGAAATACAAATCTTCCCAATGACAAATCAAACTCCCGAAGCGCAGAGTACCATAAAGTCCCCAATCTACGTCGGTCACAAACTACCATTTTTGTTTTTGAATTTCTTGTAGCAAACCATATGAGTTGGAAGCCGTACTGAAATGTACTGACATAATAAAGATTTCGATGGATCGTATCATTTGTCAGCTTGATCCGTAACGGGCAAAATATAGCAAGCAGCATAAATGTGGATTCCAATGTGTCCCAATCAGATGTCATACGCTCACGACGCCTAAGAAGACGATGCGCAGAAATGTTTACACAAATTACAGTTCCTTCGCAAAAACATGTTTTTTGAATTTCTTGTCTCTCTCTCCTTTCTTTTATAGTCCCTGCGCGTAGACACCCGTGACTACAGCTACCGAAACGGGAAGTGTATTGCGGATGTGAACCCCTCGGACACTTTGAAGTGCTCTATCAAGGAAGGTTAGTCACGCTCTTCTTATGAAAAGTCAGTACTTCGTGCGTGGCATGGGTAAGCGGGCTGCTTAGTCTTGTCATTCGGCAGTTCGATCGTCGGTTTCGACGATGTTCACCGTGTGCTCCACAGCAAGGCGGAGCAGGGACGGTGACTTGTGCGTGTGTTTGTTTACAATGAAAGTAGATTTGCACAGCATCTACCTCGCAATATCCCTTCCTCATTCCCCAACTGGACCCGGTGTCAAGACAGAGTCAAGAAGACCGGAGGTGGCGGAGCGCGCAGGTGGCTGGCACAGCTGGAGCCGCACCTAGGCATGCCACCGCATCCCCTGGTCCACATAGCAAATGACCAGGATTTTAAGCCGACAACAACAACAACAACAACAGGAACATCCCAGCAGGGGCCAGAAGGACGAGGATGATGACTGGGCAGCCATGCCCGTGAGCGCATCTGCCGTCAGGGAACCAGCTGTCAGGGAACTGCCAGCGCATACCAGTCTGTGAGGGCCGTGGTTTGCTGATACTGGCATAACACTCGCTTACGGACCTTTTGACCACCCGATCGACTCCACCTCTGGTTGTACTGATGCTGTCTTGCTGGCAGAGCCTGATGGATGAGGGAGAGCGAGAGCGGTGGACGCTTCGCAAGCCTGTTCCTCTATAAAGCAGTTTATTCGCGAGTCCCTGATGCTGCGTCTATTCGGCGGTGCACACGTTGACGTCATCACTTGAGACGATTGGACTGGCACAGTTGCGTTTCCGGCCATGTCGCATTAACGGTTTAATGGAGGCTTGTGCATGCCTGATCAATCGAAGAGCCGTATGGCATAGTTTACCTGTGGAAGGGCAGGATAGTTAGACCTGAATGCTGGACCATCTCGCACGAACGAGTAGTTTGCGTACTACTTTATAACTGACTATGAGTTATAAGAAAAATGTAAGAAAAATGTCAGACAAAACTATTTTTCAACTTCTTAATCTACCACAGGTAGGCAGCTTTCAGAATTACTGAGATACTTTATTATGCGTTTAAATATAAAAAAAGTTAAAAAATGCGACTACAGCGTAGACTGGCAATTGTTTCAATATGAAGGCTCCTTATGCGGAATACTGCGTCGGCCTTCAGCGCAGAATAAGATTATTCAGATCTATGACATAAAACCTAAAATAACTACTAAAGTATGTGCGTCTGTCACAATATATGCACCAAAAATATATACATTTTGCTACTAAAGTTTCTTGACTATTGATCCTTTAAACATGGCGACAGCTAATCTCTTTGGAGATGAATGCTACTTTGGATTTTTGGAACATCTTGAGTTTTTATATGCGCATGAGCACCCGCAACAACGAAATGCACATTGTTATAGAATGTCGCCTTCGCATTCGTCTACACTTGAGTGAAATTATCGACGGTCGATGACCATCGAGGCGGATTTGGATTGCACAGAATGAATAAACCTTCAAGTATAAGAATATATGAGTAATCATTAAGCATCTGATGAATACTCTCAGTTTGCTGATTATATAAAAGCCGAACTGCCCCATTTTCTGAACCGCGAACATTCATTGGATATATATTTTTACGAAACCGACGTTCGAGATGGATTTTTCGAATGCTTTCTGAGCTATGCGAGTGCGTGTGCGTGGAGTCCAAAATAACAGAAAAAAATGCAAACTACATGGATCCTAGAATCGTTCCCTGAATGATTCACAATCGGTAGTCAGCACACTTTCATGTATTAAATCACATAATGCTATTTTGGAGGATAGTCACTTTTGCGAAGTAGTCAGCGACTTAGATCTTGCTTTTTAGGATTTTTAACATCGTTTTTAAATGACAACCGAAGAACTCAAGCGGAAAACTACCGTAAAGCGCCAGTGTTTGTCAACTCACGTACAATATAACAAAGCACTCCCAAGGGTGTCTGCATTTAACCTAGTTACCTATAATCATGGGCAACAATGCTCTACGCTGATACATTTACCTTCGGTACAAATTAATTAGACCTGTTTATGAATTTTGGAGGGGGAGACATTTGATAAGTAAAGTCGTTTTTTAAACTTCTACACATCAATGTCGTCTTCTAGTGGATTAGGGGTTGTCATTACACTATCATGCTTACGGAGCTATTGTGTCATGTTTAAGCAGTACTTTCACTAAGGATTTGTCATCCTCCTCCTCCTCCTCCTCCTCCTCCTCCTCCTCCGCCACCATTACTATTATTATTTCTGACGTTCCCACTGCTATTGATAGTAGTATCGCCACAACCACCATTGCTAATGCTGCCGGTACCACTTTATCGCCAATAATTTAATTGTTGTTACCAATGCCACTACTATTGCTAACTTTCCACCGACAGTGATGGAATTAGTGTTACTAATACGTCTAGGAATATTATCGGTATCAGTGAATTCAAATCAATTTAGATTGTGACTATCTCCATAACGTCTAACCGCCTAATTACATTAACGTCTGAAATCAGTTTATCCTTACTGCGAATAATAATGTGACTACGGATACTGTTCATGCAAGGGAAAGCAAAGTGAACTCTTACACAGTGGTTACGCTATTTGTGCAAAAATATGTGTACGGTGCTACTTAGGGAAATCCAGCTTTTCACCAAGTCGATTGGCTATATCCGTACCGCAAGCTTCCCTAAGAGATGCATCATTATGGGGGTATAGCCTGCGGAATAAATTTGTTTTATGCCTTCTCTCTCCTTCCCAGTTGTGCACAAGAAGATGTACTTGACGGAAGTGACAATATGCAACCCACAGGAGCGCATATGGCTCGGATTCAAACTGCCCAGATTCTTCGCAAAGGGTCGATACGGATATGTGACTAACTTCTTCTACCCAGGCGGAGAGTGGACCAAGGCTGATAAATGTACGTCCTAATTTATGCTATTTAAGAAACGCGTCTAATAAGGGTACACCCTTATACATTGATAGGACAGTAATTGTTAACGGACACAGAATCTAGTTCAGAGCTTTGACGTTATAAGATAGGCTTTTGCCTATATATTTATCGGATGCGTTTCATGTATCACTGGATCTGATGCACGAAGACTGGAGTACTTATTCTCAACACGCTAGTAGCCTTCATCGGCATGGTCTCATAGACTCGTTAATGTCTCTTTCAGTAGCTATCTGGAAACAGACTGTATGCACACGACCGACGTCTTAAACTATGCCCTGGGAGAACCAATCACCGGCGTCGATAGGTCGCATTCATCTGCGTGAAGGGCTTGAAATGAAATATGCAGGCCGAAATAGGGTTCGAATGCTATTCTAGCGCATGCCTGTCACTTGCTGCGAAAGTAAATGAGATCGTATTTTAGGATTACCGAAAAAATTATCCAATTAGCATGACGAATGGCCAGGATGGGACGAAATGGCATCTGCTGCATCGATGTGGTCAACGCTGATGTGTTAACAGTTCCAGTCTGGCTATCGTCGTTGTTGAGCATATTCGAAAGCTTTTTGATGCTTCCAGCAGACAGCGGCGTTAAGTAATTTGAATAAACAAAGAGCAAGCAAAAATTACCGGAAACGAGAGACAGACGGGTCTTGTTTCAGCTATCTTCTCTTTCGGTAAAGATAAAATTGGGGCTGCCGTGCTGGAAAGTAATTATGATAACACATGGGTTTCATTACTTTGCCAATTATGGTGAAGGTGCGTTCATTGGTCAGGTTGCAGAATGCGGTTGTCTTGTTGAGATATGGGTCTTAATTAAGAACCCTGGCAGATAGTCGCATAGCAATCGGCAATGTATATCAATTTTTTTCGCCCGCCATTAGACAGGAAATGTTTAAACCATAAAGTGCATTCCCCGGGATTCAACTCCAAATTGTCCTTTTTTCTGCTGGCTCCACTTCCGGCTTGGCCGTCCCACAGTTAACCATCCGTAGACGCGCCGGTTGGCCAGCTATGGCTGCGAGTTAGACCAGTTTGTTTAACTGGTATGAGGCTACCTGGTAATCTTGTTGGTTGCTTGTGGACCATTATGTTAAGTATCCCTTCCATAATGGCCAAGGGATCGCCAAGCGTTGTCTTACTTCATGGCTTTGCTTCTGCAATTCGCTTCACGTTCATCACCTTCCTGACGGGTGGGGGGGGGTTAACTCCCAGCCGATGGAATACCCGGTGTATTTCAGTCATTTCCAGAACGAAAGAAACCCGTCTCCTTGTTCCTGTAAGACAAACTGAAGTATTTTGTCGCTGAAGCATGGTTTGTTGAACCGAACATCTGTGCATATAATAAAGCAATTAAATATTAGTTATCAGATGACATGAAGCCAAGAAATGTTAATAAGCTCTGTACTCGACTCCCGTTGGTTGGTCCATCTTCCTTATCCGTTCAGATCGTCAACGGTGATTTTTTTCAGATTAGTCAGTGAAAAATGGCACTGAATCATGTACAAAACGTAGCTCCCTACCTGAATCACGGGGCTCACCCACTGAGGTTTATGAGCAATTCATATAACCTTGAACAAATTACAGCGGTGGATGCGTCCTCGGCGAGGATTGAGTCATGTTAGCTCTCCAGATACTATATAATCTCGCCCTCGCTGTGGGCCTGACTTTGAGAACAGAAGTGAAATATATTTTTGATATTTCTATTTCCACGAGGTAATAAAACAGAGCTTCCTGCCGGTACCGTCTGCGCCCCTTAAGAAACCGAACTGGTGTGAATTTTTAGGAATTTCTTCCAACGAAAAAACTGAAGTTGGAAGTAACAGACGGGCAATCGAGTGGGAAAAAATGTTTACTCTGTATCAACTGTAGATTGCCTTCAGCCAAACCTGTCTTCTCCACTGCGGATCTTCGCTAAGGGAGAAAAGCAAGTCGAAATAACATGCAGCACAAGGAAAAGTTCGTGTTCAGCGTCTCCGTGGGTATGTTTTGTCTTTCACATCTGCCAACGCGTTTGCAGCTGTTTAAAATTTTTCCATTCGATGCGAATTCGAGTTCATAGCCCAACTGCTAGAATACGATTGATATAAGGCACCTTAGGTTACTACAGACTTTCTAGGTTGATGTTCATTCAGGCCGCATTTCCACGCGTAGAATACACCACGTTTCTCTAGGACAGCTAGTCCAACCATTTGGAAGTGTTAGGGTACAAGCCATAAACGTTTAATGTTCGAAAATTTGTTTGGCTGAAATGATTTTTGTTCCTTCAGATAGTAATGTTCACACCCGATCGAGAGTTGTGTCGAAATTTCTCGGCGCCCTATTGCGGTGAGTTTGCGAATGTTTTTCCATTAACCCCTATATATAACTGCATGTATTTATGAACAGTTTGCCGGAAAAGGCCAGAGAGATTAACTGTTGAATGGATATGAGTTGTAATCGCGTTGTCGTTGTTGTTGTTGTTGTTGTCATCGTCGTCACCGAACCAAAATCCAAGCCAACTTACAGTCGTCTGGAATGTCCGAAGTCCACGAGGAAATTTAGTGAAATTCAAAGTTACATGCGCAACTAATATCTCTCCAGCTGATCATCTACCAAGAAAGATGCTCCTCTGTTTCAAAACCCTCGAGGAATAACAGACTTTTCGAAACGGCAGTAGGTGTCAAGCTTTCGAGAGGCCTGTTAAATAATATGGGATTTGCAAAACACTATCTGTTTGCTCTTACCTGAGTGAATATTTATTAGAGTTTTCCGGATTAGGCTGAAAACTGACGCTTCGTAATCTATCTAGAGGGTGGCTCTTCTTCACGACTGTCGTTTAAAATACTAAACTGCAAGTCAGATTACTTGCCTACGGGCGTGATCAAGACAACAAGTCTCCCGGAAGATTTACATACCGTACAAACTTTTATGACCCAGAAAAATTGGAAAACTCTACGACGCCTTTTCATAATGATAATGCACTACTTTTTCTCGAAATTAAAGCACAAACGTCGCTGGGGAATTGTCACTACAGGCAAAAGGACGAGTTCCAGGAAGCAGTTCAGAGGGGGGGGACTCAATCACTGGAACAAGAATTTTATTCGTCTGACGTTCCGGATTCACACTCGAACCCCACATTAAAGACAGCGGCTGGTAGGGATGGCTAATGCACAATGCTTTCAGTACTTGTAGGTGTAGTTGCTATGCAACCGCATATCTGCCACAAATAGCAGCTTCTGCATTGATCGGAAATAGTCATATGTGGTGAGGCGATTAATTGATAGTCCGCATCTGAATCGCTAACCACTGCAATCTCGTCGGTCCTAGATACTTGCTCGACAATTTGGACCCAGGATATCGTCACTAGAAACAATGCTCGCCAATGCGCGCTCCAAGCGGGACTATGTGATCTCTCTTCAGGTAGCTTCGACAAAACTGCTTATGGTACCGTCGGGTGTTCCGCCGCCGTGCTGGAAAGAAAAGACTACCTTCAGGAAACCGAGAACTCGCTGAAAGTGGCCAGTTATATTTTCCTGAAATAACTGGCCGCGAAAAGGGACTGGCGAGCGAAATTAATATCGATTTGTTGACAACGGAGACCTTAGTTCAATATTGCCTCGGACGCGACCAAATACCCTAATGGTTTGGGTGCTCTCTGGAATTGTCCACGGACAAGTGAACGTGAGGTCAATAGTTTCACTGATTTCTGAAGTCAGTGGTTTGAGAAACCAGTTTTCTAACACCATGTGCTGACACCTCTGGGCGCGGTATGTGGAAGAAATCGTCGTCCACATCAAATGGATCAGATGTGGACATCTAAAGGACATCTTGACGCCATCCCCACAGGCATGCAGTTAACGACGGACGAGGAAGATAGTAAGCAGCTTCCCTTCTTGGATCTGCTCTCCTCTGTCGCAGGGCTGCACAGGCAGGTGAAAAGTACGAAAAAAACAGCCGCAGCCACGCAATCAGCTAGCAACTAGGTGCATAGGTGCTAAGGTGCATTACAGCGAACAGGAGGACAGGGTTATCGAACTATAACATCTAGCGGGTACTCAGAGCAGGTAGCCACTAGTGCAAATTCGTCAACTGGTGACAAGGTAAGACGAAATAAAAACACTGTGCCGTTCTGAAATTTTAGCGACTGCTCCCGCACTCCAAGAATGGCCCTGAAAGCTGTCAGATGCCATCTTTGGCCATTTGGATTTGGGATCCCAGACTGATTGGAGGCAACCACTAGCCGCCAGATAATTAGGTCGAAAGATCTGCCGCCACAATGGAACACGCTTGCAGTCGCTTGCCGAATCCAGTATAATTGCGGGCAGAGCAAATGCGCAGGGGGAACTCGGAGATTACTCCGGACACGGATGACCGAATAGGCGGCGCAGTGAACAGGAATAACCCCAGTCCACAGGTCGCGGATCATTTAGCAGGATCCATGCAAACCTTGAAGGCAAAAAAGATCAAAATTCTCGTGAGAGGTGACAAATGTGTGCATCACGCGCCGCCTCAGCCCTGGTTATCCTGCTCACAGTCCATTAAGAAGCCCAGTGACTTTCTCCTTCATATTAGCTGCTCGGAATTTGCCTGACCAGAGTCGTGCGGGAAGTGCGCGAACCAACATTATTTCCAATGTCAGAGTCGGTGAAAAACAATAACCTACCCGGCTGGATGTTCCATATGCACGTTCCGACTTCATTGATTGACCCTCTACGAACAATTAAGTCAGAGAGAGTATATCTCCTCTATGGTGGTTGCCAGTCTGATAAGGTAAAACCAATGATCTGAGATGTTTGACCTGAGCCAAAATACGCATCTTCGTGTCTTTTTTAGGAAAGAAAGACAATGGAGATGTGGTGGAGTACACCTACACACTGAAGCGTCCTAATCAGGGCCATCAGTTTGAGTACGTCTTCTGTTCCACCTCTAACAGCTACCTATCTACTATCATCGACTGGGAAAACAAGAGTAAGTTTCCAATCAAAACATTCTCAGCTATGTCCCATCATCAAAAACATTGTTCTGTCCTACCGCGAGTAACCCTGTTGTACCAAAATCCTGTGCTACCAATTGGAGGATCTGAGGTCAGTCATTCATTAAGACTGTAGACCACAGTTGCTCGTCAGTATTAGACGCCTGATACTAAAATACTAACGATAATATAAAGTGTCAGACGATTTGCTACACGACGCAGACCAGTGGACGCAAAAATGCAGACAGTCACCTAGTTAAAGGGCAGTCCTATGTAATACAGTAGCTAGTCGACTGTTGTATAGGAGAATCAAAGAAGGAGGCTGTGGAAAATATCAATATTTTGAGTGTAGTGAAATTTCTACACAGTAACTGCACAGACGTGTCTGCTTTAAGGAGAACCAAAAAGTGGTCACAAACGAGTCGTTTAAAATTTGGGTTCGGTACTCTTCCGATTCCATTAGAAGAAAACGACCCTTTAAAAGAAATTGATGTAGATAAATGTTTGGAAAAGTAGATATTCGGTGACAGAAGCTAAGGTCCGCTACTGACAGTAAAGAGATAAGGTAACGTATTCTGCCAAAAGATAGTCAACTGGAGGAAGTACCTGTTTAAACTTAATGCATCCACCAAAGTTTAAAATTAATAACTCTGAATGGTTTGAAGTTGGATCACAGTACCCCCTTGTGTCGGCAAAATTTAAGCTGACTGAAGATGTGCTGAATGCATAAGTGTTAAAGTGTTAAAAGAGTTTGAAAGTCGAAAAACGTCGACGCGGCGTCTGAGCTTGTAGTCATGCTTTTCCGCACAAGTCGGGGATATAATCGATGTAAAAATTTCTGATATGTTTGCCTGAACGAGCTAGTAACTAAATGTTTCTTGCTTTTTAACGAACTCCTACCCAGAATACGAAGGTGACGATGACATTGGCGAGAGCGAGGACGGCAAGGATGAGGAGGAGAGCGAGGGGGGCAAGGATGAAGAAGAGAGCGGAGACGATGAGGATGAGGAAGACAGCGAGGACGGCAAGGAGGAAGAAGAGAGCGGAGATGATGAGGATGAGGAAGACAGCGAGGACGGCAAGGAGGAAGAAGAGAGCAGAGATGATGAGGATGAGGAAGACAGCGAGGACGGCAAGGATGAGGAGGACAGCGGAGACGACGGGGACGAAGAAGGCAACGAGGACGGGGAGGATGAGGAAGACGGCCAAGGTGACGACGAAGATGCTAGTGAGGATGACGTTGGCGGCCCCGAAAACGACGACATCCAAGGCAACCCCGATCAGTGTAGGGACTCCTGGAAAGAGTCCTCAATACACGATCTTGAAGAAGGTGTATTCGGCTCAGAAGATGACGGAGTTGACTTGAGTGATGTTGCAGACGTGGACGATGAATGAAAAGCAACGCAGTCCACTCATGAACAAGGAATGCCACTGGCGTTCTAGCACTCATTCTCGTTGTCCTTTTGGAAATAGACTCCACTGACTTATTTATAACATGTATGGAAAAGGTTACTTAATATGCAGTAATTGTGTATTTCAAGTTGCTATAAATACATGATTCAAAACCGTCCCTCATATGTTATTCTTCAGGGAAGTTTGAACAGCGCATTTAAAGCGGAAAAAGGGGATAATATGAGGGGTCTCCTTAATCAAAATTCTGTTTTAAGTTCTTGCCTTAAATTTAAGATATGTCGCGAAGGACATAACTGAGTCGAGTTTCTGTTAGAAAAAAAGTTTGGGGGTTCAGTTTGACAGTTGCGAGTATTATGGCCGACGGTTACAAAGAAGGCCTGAAAAATGTTACCTTTCATGACTGACGACGACAGAAGTGAGGAATGCAAAAAATTAGACGCGAATATGGTTATGCATTTTGGATAAGCAGCACACAAGGAAACACTTTCTCGTTATAAAAAATGTAACTACTCTAATTAGAGGGGAGTGCTTCCGCTGCTTGACCGAAATGGACTTTGGACGCACCGAATTATTTATATGGGTCCCACGGTCAAAATTTTAAGGTAATACCAACAACGCAGCATTTATAAGGGGATAGAAACAGTTGGCAACCAGATTAGCAGGCACCGATTGATTGAAAGGAGCGAAGACAGAAAGAAGGAAAAATGGAATGGCCCCTTCTGGGTGATTAATGGTCACCAGTCGTCCACACCCAAGCCTAGGTTTGGGGCACCAAGCATTTGAGCCAGGATCTTTGGTCATTGCACCGAACGCTATACCGCTGAGGAAGAATTTGGCCAATGAGCAGCCATACGACTGACTTTTTGGGCACAAGGGGGCGACTATGTCTTGTAATCTGAACAGTAAACGTAATTCCGACGCAGATGTGATTGCACGCAGCCACGCACACAGGTGGGAGATCGATATGCCTATTCGTCGAGTTAACTCAGCCTTTCATGCTGCGGCGTGCCCCAACCTTCCCGAGTGACTGCATTCAAGGTTGCATATTTACCGCGAACGAAGTCGTCATCCGGTCCGTTGTACATATATATAGTTGAAAACGGGCTTCCCGAGAACCATAATTAGAACGGACTAAGTTCTTTGAGAAAGATAAAACGATTTATTTGTAAATTTTTGACTTTGGTTCCCCAAGTCGTTCTCATATGTGAAGCAAGTTTGCGAAACAGTTGAAATTTAAACATGCGTTAAAGTCAGATATTGCCCTCTCGTTTCTGCTAGTCAGACTTTGCTGTGGGCTGGCAGAATGTTCTGATTGACTAATACCTTTTCCACTTTTCCTTGAGGTTGTTGTACATAGCATCCAATTCTATGTGTCGACTGATGCATGGGTTATCAGAATAATTGGCCTCAAAAAATTCGCGGCCCTTCTTAGATGAGCAGACATCTAAAATGCGAGTCTTGTTCCATGCAAACTTAAATCCAGTTTCCAGCGTACGCATGGCGACCTGGAACAAGTGGTCTCGCCTACTTACTGCCAACTGATGGATGAAACGCACAATAGTGACTTCATACTTTCTGGCGCTAGGCACTTACACAATTTCGACTCGAATGTCGATAACGTAGGCTAGGACATATGTTCTGGCGGAAGATTATTCCAAAGGATGGCAAATTTGGATGCAAACAAGAGGGAACGCTTAGACGTAGTGCAAAGAGGCGGCGGAATCAACATGGAGGAGCTACGCGCGACAAAAGACCGACCTCTCAAAGTGAGAGTCTCAATGCGCGGAAGGTTGGAGTTAGAGTTAATGCGAAAAAGGAAGCGAAGGCCAGCTTCGAGGCCTCTAACCCACAAAAACTTCATTTTCACCAGCCGACATCTCTGGGTATAAGAAGTATCGGATGCAGCTTGAGAAAAGAGTTTCCGAATGAAAACCCTCTACACATTTTCAACTTTATTACAGTCACAGGCGTTCATTAAACTAAGGAACGAACAGCGGAACTTGTGGACTGGAGGAACGAACATTCGATAAAGTTTTAGCTTTAGTTCCGGAAGGAAAAAATTATGTGATATAAACCCACATATTTGTGCAGCTTTGGAATAAATTCTATCTACATGAGGTGATAAAGTAAGGTTATTTGTATAGATTAAACCTAGGCCCTTTATGGGGAAGCATTCTGAGAGTGGATTATTCTGAAAAATTATGGGACCAGGAAGTTTGGTAGGACCAAAAGACATAAAACTACATTTGGTCGATGAAAAGTCCATCTGCCGTGTTGAACTCCATCTACTTCAGTGTAGTAAATCGGCACAAATGTTTTCAGCACAAACATTTGCAGTGTCCTTAGAATATGAGTAAAAACATTTGAGGTCATCGGCATAAATAAAAGTTTGCGAATTTCTGAGTTCAGTCGAAGTAGCATTTATGTAAAGAAGGAAGAGTAGTGGACCCAGAACCGCGCCTCGAAGTACCCTACTCGTGATCGAATGAGGTGTTGAGTAGTTATTACCAACCATGACCTTCCGGTATCGGTTGGGTAGGTAGGACCCGTTGAAGTCGGGTAGAGGCGATCGGATGCCGAGGGCTTCCAATTTAAACAAAAGACTTCTATGTGGCACCTTGTCGAGGGTTTTGCTAAGATTAGCCTGGATAACAACCACTGACTGCTGTTCATTACGAAGAAAAATGGTTAGATTAAGAAAGGCCGAATGGCCAGTTGCACAGGATCTTTCGGACAAAAACCTATGCTGATTAGAACCCAGAAGCTGATTGACTAGACAGAAGTCGAAAATTTATTGGAAATAAGGGCGAGATCCGGACATGAATACAGGAATGAAAATTGATGTCTTCCGTGTTTCCGGGAAAAATCCTTTTGAAATATAAATCGAGAATAAATTACTAAGTAGTATGGGAAGGTCGGATGCCTGTTTAATACTTGGATTTCGAATCTCGTCCGTTCCCGAGCAGTGTGAGTTTTTCTAACGACTTATGTGTTTCTTAATAAGATTTGAGGAGACATTGATTGTACTCAGTTTCCTATCTGAAAGCGAACGAAAGAAAGGAACTGGTTCGGACTGAGTAATAAAGTGGTTTGCAAAGAAAGCACTAGACAACTCAGCCTTGTCAGTGTCATCGATGAGGAAGATTTTGTCACCAGTTAGCTGGGGTAGAATTTCGCAACCACGTATAGAGGAGGACCGATAACGGAAGATTTTAGCGACAAATTTAGCAGGGTTCGGATCATTGAGAGCAAGTAAGTCTTTTTTGCCTATCGCGCGCTTGGCGCATCCTCGAGGCCATTTCAAAAATCTCCGTGATTCTAAGATGAACGGATAAGGAACTAGTGGATAAGTCACGCAGCTGCCTTCTCAACTTTTTAGCCTGTTGTGAAGAATATGAGGAACAAGGGGATCTGAAAAATTAGGCTTGAGATATCTACGCGGCACAAACTCTAGGATGCTCTTGGAAACATTAGACATGACATCACAAAAACGGTTGCATCACTACAGGAGAGAAAACCATGCCAATTCAATGATCTAATATTGTTATTTATTAAGTCGTTATCCACGCAATTGTTATTTAGGTACCTCCGAATTGTGCTGGTTTTCTTTGAAAAGGCAAGCGGTAAGTAGCTATGAATTAATGCGTAGTCACTACCCAAGAGGTGCTTATTGAAAGCAACAAAAAGTGGGGCAATGTCAATGGCAAAGACAAGGTCTAAAATGTGATTATCTCTTGTTGCAGAGAGCACAAGCTGAGACCAGTTAGAAAAATGGACAATATCTTGGAAGGGCCGGAATCTAGGTGGACAGATATTGGAGACCCAGTCTACTTCAGGAAGGCTTAAATCCCCCGTGATTATTTTAACATCGAAAGCAGCTTCCGAAATTACTTTAAAGATTTCACATAGTTGTGAATCATAACTGGCTGAATAGTTTGGGGGATAGTAAATACAACCAATAATTGCCTTTCTTTGCGACGAGAGAATAATTGATGCAATGCAGAAGTCTCCCGTGAACGAGTAGGCACCTAGGTAATAGGGAGAATGCTTTAGGTAGTATCTAACATAAAGAAGACAACCGCCACCCACGCCAAGTGGGGTTTTCACAGTAGAAATCAAAGTCATCTATAAAAAGGATAGAATCAGGAATCAGAGGATGGGCCCAAGATTCTTTGATACATATAATATCAGGCGTCATTTCGAGAGCAATGGCTCTTATTTAAGCCATCTTGTATACAACGGACCTGGAATTCCGTAATATAATATCTAGTGTGTTTCGAACGGCGTGGCTATTGTCGACAGTATTTAGAAAAAAAAATTGGAGGTGAATATGTTAGCTGTTAATTAATGTTATTTTGGGAATAAGTACCAATGAGTCTAGAGTTATTGACGTACAGTGGGTCGGCAGATGAAGGTTGGGCCGGAGACCTAAAAGATGTGGGGATACAGTTTTCGGACATTGAAACGTTAAGGGAGTTGGAACAGGGATAGGCTCGCTGGTAGTTAGTTTGTGGAGGAGGAGGAGGATGAGGAGGGAGTCTAGAAGGAAGGTAGATGCTAATGGTGGTATGGAGGCAGCTATAAGAATTAAAGGGTGGGAACCCAGTCAAAGGAGTCAAAGGAAGTCAAAGGATTTAGGTTGACTTGCGTTAGAGCAGTTGGCTTTGAGTGGTTGGAAGCCTGAACCAGGTTGGGAGACTAATGACTGGGGGCGATTCACATTCGAACTATTTACAGGATAGATAGTATGGCTTTGGTAAGCAGCCGGTATGTGGGACAGAAAATTATTTGGGGGTATAATTGGACCTACGAGGTTTATAGACGAGTTCTTCTGTAAAAACTGAGCTGAGGCTGCACACCACTGAATGGAGTTCTGCTACCTTTCTTTTGGGTCAAAATCGGATTCCGTTTTTGGATCACATTATCCTGACGCCATGCCACAGGTAGCTTAAATAGAGAACTTGGAGGACCCTGTTGAAGTG